GTTGTTGTTGTTGGCGGTGGTGCTGTTGCGGTTGCAGTTGCAGTTGCAGTTGCAGTTGCTGTTGCTGTTGCTGTTGCTGTTGCTGTTGCTGTTGCTGTTGCTGTTGCTGTTGCTGTTGCTGTTGCTTGTTGTTGCTGTTGTTGCTGTTGTTGCTGTTGTTGCTGTTGTTGTTGTTGTTGCTGCTATTGACGCTGGTGTTGCTTGTGTTGCTTCTGTTGCAGCTGTTGCTGTTTGTGTTTCCGTTTCTGTGTCCGGTTCCTTTGCTGTTGCTCTGGCGGTTCTTCTTGTTGCTGCTTGCTTGTGAATTTGCCGCTGCATCTGCCTCAGTCGCCAGTGTGGGCTGCTAGTGGTGTTGTTGTTCTTGCTATCACTAGTTGAGCACTGCACTGGACCTCCAGAAGTATGAGAAGCATCTTCACCTTACCGATGCTATCACAACCCTGGCAATAGCTTTCTGTCTAGCGGCACTATTAGTACGAGTTTTGTTGCAGGAAACGCAGATCTCAGCAGTCGCACATGTCATGCTCGGTTCGGGCGTTCTTTGCTGCTCTTTCCGTCCGCAGTGATTTCGCTACTATCGCTACTATTACTTTTAAAGCTACTGCTAAGACTCTTGCAATATTGTCTCAATCCTTAGCTGTTGATCTTCCTGCGCACGGCTTACACTTAGTTTAACCCATTCCGGTCATTCTTACCTCGCTGATTACTCTTACATGTTGTATTGTACTGCTCTTGTTCTCGTCAACCCTTGTTCTCCGAACACTGTCGGCACCACCGTTCTCAGCCACGCCAGTTTCTGTTCTTCTCGATTGCCGAGTTCAGCGTAGACTTTTCGTCCTGGACCTTTAGGGCTTGGGAGGGTAAAGCCTACAACTTCCAGGGTCCTGTGGAAAGAGCTGCCGGAAGACGTCCTGCACGTAGCTAGTCGATCGTCCATTCACCCATCTGGTGCCTTACTTCCGACATGCGTGCCACTATCCGTCTATCAACATCAGCAATGCTCTGGTTTGCTGAACAGCGGGTGTGGGCATTGGAACAACCAACCCGTTCATGAAACAATGAAGTGGAGCAATCCGCCGAGGCTTCGGCGTTTAGACTTAGTATCAAACCATCCTTTCAACTCTCCTTCCCAGACTTCCTGTTTTTGGTGGCGAAGTTGTCCCTACCGAACCTCCAAAGTCGGCTCACATTGGCGCCGGTACAGTACCCGCCCGGATGCGCCTCCCCTGAAAACAAACGGACCGATAAGTGGAATTTCGTCACAACATGAGCCATCATGCCGGGCCAGAGAACGTGAATGCGCACCTTTCGAATTGGCTTTCCTGTTCCCAGGAAAAGGGGCTCTCTTTACAAGCTTGCTGCTTTGCCATGAAAGCTTGTGATAATGCAAACCCGGCGGAACTGTCCTAGACCCCACAACCATGAAGAACTGAACGCTGAAAGCCCCAAAAAACCCTTTCTCTAGAGCCCTTATGAGGCCCGTGTAGACTCTACAGCGAGAGAGCTTCGCAGCTGATGTGGGTTCCTTAACCTGCCTGTCCTTCTCTGTGGTTTATAATAAGGCTTTAAGGATTGAAGGCTTAGGGATTCTAGGGATTCTAGGGCTTGGGGCGCACTGTAAGGCTTAGGGTGTATGGGGTTGCAGTGGCTTAAGGCTTTTTGATTTCTTCTGGTTTGGGCTTAAGGGACTTTGTATGCCTAGAACAGGGGTCCGCTTGTTTGGGCTCTATAGTAGCTAGTAATCTAGGCGGACATTCCTACTAATTCTTCCGGCCCCTATAGGAATCTCAATGCTTCAGGCTTCGGCTTTGAACAGCATTTTTGAATCTTCCACCCTACGAGTCTTAACCCTAAACCCGACAACTCAAAGCTTCAACCCGAAAAACTCTGAACCGTGAGTCCTAAACCTTCTGAAACTCATAGCCCTGTAAACTCTACTAAAGTTAAAGTTCTATCCTGAACTCTCTCTCTCCCTCTCTCCGCGAAGGGACGATGTCCGTAGCTTGCAAAGTGGATCAATGGTGGTACAGTACCAGTTGGCCGCACGTGCAGCCGTCTCCCCTCTAAGATGACACCCTCCTGCAGGGATCAAAAGGAGAGTTTAGGGCTTTTAGGGCATTCGAGCTTGAGGGCGAAGCTTGTGGCTGTGGGACTCAATACAAGGCTTTCGGGTTTGGAGTTGGGTGTACTTGGGTAAGCCTTCACATCTTGGACATGGCATGCAGATTGGAGCCCGAGATTTGTTGCTGTCCTCTTCTGTCACGGCGAAGAGGCTGCATAACAGCTTGCACTCCGTGTCCAGAAGAATTTTGTCTGGATGGTCTCTGCGGTAGATTTGCCACCACCATTGATCATTCACCTCCTTATCCTCGCCTTGAAGGGGCTCCGGGAGGATCGTCTTGAAAGCGTGCACACGACCCACCATGAGCCCAGCATTCAGATAGCGCCAGCGGTGCTTCGCCGGAGGGGTCTTTTCACAGATGCTGTCGCTGTCTGGGAAACAGGCAACCTCAGCATTGAAGACGATGCTGCGCCCAGATTCCGATTCAAGCTCCTCAAACTTTCGGAGTATTTCAAGCTGACCTGCCAGAACCAGCGTGTCAAAGGCGTCTGCAACAATCCTCGGCTGCAGAGCAGAAAGAGAAAAACTCAGCACACTTAAGAAACATGGAGATCATTGGCGATCTTTACAATCCGAGAATCATAACATCCTGGTCATCCTTCGAAGAGGCGAATGCCCGAATCGCATTTATCTTGTCGCCCATTTTGCCCCAGTCTTTGGACTTGCCTTACACAGGGACAAGAAAGAACCTCGTTGAGGCTGCCAGGGTTCAGGCCCAGAGCCAGGAGTGTCGGGTAAGGTTTCTGCTTTCTAGGTAGTGAAATTTAGGGTTTGGGTTTCAGAATGTCAGGGTTCAGGGTTTAGGGGGTTGGGGTCTGCGTTTAGGGTGCAGGCCCACTCCCCCACGAATCGGGGAGCTCAGGGCTTGATATGAGGGCCTTGATAGTCTTGAGTCTTGAATAGGGTCTTGGCATATTGCAATTGCCGAGAACACACGGGAATTCCGCAGCTGTGGCGTGGTGCATTCGGGCTCATGCCACTCGGGCCCGTCCTCCTGGGGACGTGGCCTGTCCAGGCACCCTCACAAGCCCACATGGGGCCACATGTTGAGAGGCTCCAGCTGCTAGATCGTCCTGGTGGTCCTGGTAATCCTGGTCTTCGTGTAGTCTATAATATATAACAACAATAATAATACACCATAATCTACTGCAATATACTGTATATACTATTATATACTATAGTATAGTATACTGATTGTCCTGGTGCTGCTCATGGTCCTGCTCCCCTGGGTGGTCGTCTTTTCATGTCGCGGTCCCGGCGGAGTGTACATGGTGCATGGTGATTCACTGTTTGGGGGTCTACGCTGGCGTGGCAATAGAAATATCAGGGGACACTGTGTAACGGCGATTACAGTACTGTATTTTTCGAGATTCCTCTCTACAGAACTCTACCCAGGAATTCTACAGCCGTACTCCGCTAAGGGCATTCGGTTTTCGGTGTAGGGCCTAGGGACATTATGTTCTTGATCATACTAAACTTCCAGCCACACTGAACGCGAGTTCTGACGCTCCAGGTAAGATTACAAGTACAATGAACATCCAAAGAACGATGACAGCATTCACAAGAATGCAACACTTCCTAGTTAAAAGCAATGACGCTGAAATTGACATGAGAAGAACTACAACAGCAAAAATCCTTATAGTAAGAACCGCCGAAAGGAAAGAACAGCAGTAAGACAAAAAGACCTTGCTAGTCTTGATAGTCTAAAGCTGATAACAAATCTCTACTTCCGTCAGGATGCCGAGGCCCATCACTTGAGGAAAGATCTGCTGGGACTCTGCAGAGACCTCCAAGTCCCCAACAGGCACGGAAGCCTACTCGGATCCCATAAAGCCAGGGGTGGAGTCCAGAGACCCCGGGTACCGGTGAGATCCTATCGTACCTTCCCCCTAGTGGCTGCTCTTGCACCGAATGTTTGCTGCCACCATCATTGCTACGACTGCTCGCTCTCCGCATGGTGATGATTTCCACTACTAGCACACAGGACTCTATGCTGCCCAGCTTAGGCTTGTACTTCGGATGCTGACTCAGATCCAATGCGCCTGAAGGTAAGCGAAATGCCGCTGGATGGTGAACATAAACGTCATCAGGTGCAGCTGTGTCTGGTTCCTTGCAGGAGGTTGGGAATCTTACCTTCCAGCCATGAAGCAAAAAATACTAGAAAATTCCGGTCGAATTCTTAAGGCTCGTATATCCACTAAATCCAAAATTGAACCCTTATACTCAACCCTTTTAGAACCCTTGCAGTAACCCTTGGTCGAATCCTTAGTAATGGGGCCCCACTCCCATTACCAGCCTCAGGCTCAGGTCCGACGTGGCCGCCGCTTCCTCTGCCGGCGCCTGCCCGCAACTCCTCAGTAGGATTGAGTCACTTTTAGTCTTTCTAAAGGGCTTCCTCTAGGGCCTTTTAGGGGCCATTTTAGGGCTGTGGACCGCTGATGACCAGATTGAAGGTGCAGGGCTGTCATTTTTACTATTGCGGCTGTCGGTGTGGACGAAGTTGAGTAAGGTTTTACTGTTGCTATTGTGATGTTGCTTGCATCATCGTTGTCCCTGCACTTGTTGTACTTGCGACGGTGTGTGCGCTAACACTGCTGCTGCTTGTTGTTGTCAGTTATTGCGCGGTGGTTCCGTCATCTGGCATGCTGTGGGGCTGGGTTGCCTTGGCCCTGCGGTATGTGCCGAACCCACACCTTTCGAATTCAACCAAAACCCCGTCAACAGCGTCTTACCGAAGTTGGGGTTTGTTCTTCAGGCTCAGGGACAGGACTTTACAATCGACCCCACAGCCAACACACACACACACACGCGCACGCGCACACACACACACACACACACGCACACGCACACACACACACACGCACACACACACACACACATGCGTACGTACACTCACACGCAGAGAAGGATGCAAGAAAGCCAATACAAGCAACGGTGCGCCCGACACCTTCTCACATCCACAAAGACACGTTTCATACCAACACGTCCCATCCTTGAAGCACCAAAGGAATATGAAGTAACGAAAGCGGAGAAAAACCATGATTTCGCCCAACACCAACGAATGACAACCCTTCCATGGCGGCATGTGGACCTCAAGCCTTGTTGCTGCCACTGCTGTTGTTGCTGCGCCATCACGGCTACCTTCACCAACACCATCACCATCATCGCCATCATCCCGGACCTCAGCCTCGTCCCGTCCAAAGATCATTGTCATCTTTACCACTGTTTCGAAGCTGCAAAAATACGACGAAGCCAAGACCCACAAACCTGAAAGTTGCAAACCTGTGAACGCTGAAACCCCGGACCTTGCAAACCCCAAGCCCCACAAAGCCTAAGTGTCTAAAACCCCTCAACATTAAAACCCGCACCCCTAAACCTGAAACCATGCTTTCAGCAGGGCGGCAAGTGAAGAAGGAGGGCCGCGCGGGCGCATGCTAACCATGACCGACGCATTTTCGGCTGGATGTAGGACTTTGGGTTGAGGCTTCAGCAACTAACTTGTTTAAGTTTGGGTGCAGGGTTCAGAGCTCATGGGTTAGGGAGTCGGGCTCCATCATGAGTCATGGGTCTACTGCGGCAAAGTTATGATATGATAAGAACTTGCCATTTAAAACGTGCTTTGGGGTTTATATGGTACAGTAGAACTATCTATCATACTAGGTTAACGGTTACTCTGTATTCCAAACCCCTATCTCCACCAAGATTTGAGAGCTTAGAGCCTAGGACTCTTAGAGTTCAGGGAGCTCGTCCTGCCGAACGCAGTTAAACGACTCTGCGGAGTGCGTGCCTCCGAGTTCTGAGGCTCTGGTGTATTATATAAGGCACAACACCCGAAACCCTTGGAACCCCAAAACGCTGTTTAACAGAACACCCAGTGTTGCTGGGTCGGTGCTTTAAGGACTCAGGATGTGTGCTGCGGGTGCTGAGTTCATGATTGTGTGAGGTATCGGGAACTTGAACAAACAGACCAGTAACTTGTTTGAATAGGGTATGTCGAGGGGCATGAATATATACTGTAGGAACTGCCGCGATGCTGCTGCTGCTGCTGCTGCTATGGCTTCGGGCCGGGCATTCCGCAGCTGCATGGCATCATGGAAGGTCTGCGCTACTCTGCGGACGCAGCAAGAATTCGGGACTTCTACAGCAATGCTTTGCATTGACTACGAAAGCCCTCTCCCGCGTATAAAGTCCAACAAAGAGCCTTCTCGGCTACGGCTAATCAGCTTGGGGCTAAGGTTTAAAGTTTAGGGCGTAACTATAGGGTTCAGAATTCAAGGTTCAGGGTTTGGGTGCAGGGTATGGGGGTGGAGGGTCTATGACTCTATGAGGTTTGGGTTTAGGCATTCAAGGCTTCGCCGTCAACCTGTCAACCCGAAGCCAAACTAGGCCCAAGAGTCTCGCCGGCTTCCCTCGTGGCCGGTGACAGCACTCTGGGCAGCTGGTGGTTCGCCACCACTGTGGCATGGAACGGCACCTCTTCAAGAGATGCTGACAAAGCACACCGATGCAGGGCCCGGACCTCTAAACCCCAAACCCTGAATCGTTAACTCTAGAGACATCTGAACCCTATAATCTCTAAATCCTAAAGCCCTGAACCCCTCTGCACCCGTATCCAGGATCTCACAATCTCTGGGAAGCTGACCCAGACCTGATGGCCCCTTCGCAATCCGACTTAAAGGATCCTCCGCACGTCCCTTAGACACGGGCCTTGCCGGGGGGAGGAGGGGAGGTGAGCGACGCTTAAAATCAGAAGAGACTTTCGGGGTACTGCACACTATACCATACTCGAGGATGTATGCGTGTGTGTGTGTGTGTGGTGCTGTATATATATATATATATACATACATACATACATACATACATACATACATACAGACATACAGACATACATACAGACATACAGACATACAGACATACAGACATACAGACATACAGACATACAGACAGACCGACGGACGGACATCACTAATGATTGAAGATCCCTGTGTTATCAAGTTGGGTGGGTTATTTTGGGGTTCAGGGTTGCCCTTTCCTCTCTGACAGGGTGTTGGAGCTGCAAAAGTGAGTTCTTCTTCGAGTCCCCGAGCCCAAGCCCCTTAAGCTTCGAATCGTGCACCTGAGACCCTGGTACCTTCTCTCCCTTTGCTTCTCTATATGCGAGGACTCAAACCCCTGTCGTCCGTTCACAACTCGAGTACGATATACCCCGAAAGCTTCTAGGTATTTCAAGCATCTATATATATATATATATGTATATATATATATATATCGCATACATAAACATACACATACATATACATATACTATATATATGTATATACACAGGATAATGCCTGTCTGTCTGTCCGATATGGTTTACACCAAAGCCGATCTCCAATCATTAAGGCCCAACCCGACATGCTCAAGAGCCTTCGGGCTGAAGAGGTTCCAGGGAATCTGCTTCCCTCGGTGGAGTCGCCATCCATCCTCCAGCATGGCTCGGGGGTAGCAGGCACAAAGGCACCACAGGCAGAACGCCTTCCACATGGCAGGCTGCCTCGATAGGCTCATTCTGGGGCGCGTGGCGCTCAACCAAGCAGCGTGGCTTCGGGGCTTGGGGTTCTGGGTTCTTGGCCTCGGATGGGCCCGACGCAGGCAGAGCTTAGCTTCAACCGTGGGGGTTTGGAGTTTGTTTGGGCTTAGTTCGTGTTTCGGAGCATGGGCTTCTGGGCCCGGGTTCAGAAGCGGGAGAGCTTGCACGGGCATCGACTTTGGGGAGGGTCGAGGCTTGTGGCTCCTGAGGTGCGAAAGCAAGTTAATAATAACTAGTTCTTGCTATTCTGAGTATCATTCTATTAGATCTTATTGAAGTTATTACTATATTGTTATCATTATGGAGTCCGATTTGTTGGCCTAGAGATGCTATTCCCGTCGAGTCTGTTGCGCATGCTCTCGAGCAGCAAGAGCAAGAAGATGAAAGGAACCCCAGAGAGAACTGACATGTTGTTCTGGGGTTTTGGCATTTCAGGACATGGGGTCAGGTACCCGGTAGAGTTGAAGGTTTAAGGTTTAGAGTTTCGGGGCACACTTCACCCTGCAGCGCTGCAGTGGAACAGCAAAACCCCTGTGCCTGCTTCGTATCCTACAACACACCTTGAGGAATAGCCACAGACAACCAAAGCCACCAGGGCACCTGCAGAACATGAAACGTTGGGGCTCTGTCAAGTATGAAACTGACTCGGCGCTCGGTGTGTTGAGCCTAAACGCGCCCCGTTCTTTCCTCAAAGGTCCAGAGTCTCGGGCTTCACTCGGAGTCGAAGGGTCTGGGGGAGAGGCAGCCTGGGACATCCTTTCAGCCGCCAGCGGTGCCAGAGAAAGATGACGAGAAGAAGCAGGTCAAGGATCCCCATGTAGCTGATGATGCGCTCTCTGAGCTTGATCTTCCTGGGCTACCATTTTTCTCTGGCTCCCAAGATTATGAGTTCTCTAAGAACTTGCTAGAAACTAAATTTGCTTGCGCCAAGCACAAAGTATCCCAAAGTGCCACCTGGCCTCTCTAGAACACTCCAGGTCCGCTGGAAGTGAAGGTAGTCGTCGTTGTTCCAGCGGGGAAGCCAGGGTGTGGAGAGGTCGTCAAAGAGATCTTGCATGCTCTCCTTAGGCGGCTCCTTAAAAATTCGCGGATAAATCTTCGTATATATAAAGTCATCTTAGACTCTTCGACCCAGGAAAGGAGAATCGAAAATCTCCCAAGATCCCCCCTAAACCCTAAACCCCCAAACCCAGGAAAGAAGAATCGAAAATCTCCCAAAAACCGCCCGGGCCAGTCTCTAGGCGCCAGCCCTTGTAGGCCTCAGGCAGAAGTAGGCGAACGACTTCGAAGGGCAAGGACCTCAGGCAGAAGAGCCTCGGGTTTTTGAGGCACGGCGCCTTTTTGGAGAACTTCCCTGGCCCTGGGAAGTGGAAGATCAGGGGTCTCTTCTTGGTGAGACGATTTTCGATCCAAGTCTGACCCTGGGAATTTTGTACCAGAGCCACGGATTCCGGGGGTTGGCCCAAGTCCCAGGCCCATGGGCCGTCTAAGATGCCTTCGATGCCAAAGGCATTCAGGAAGAGCTCGGTTTGGTAGTCCAGGGCCACCAAGTCCGGGCGTTGAAAGAGGCTGAAGTTCGCACACAAGACCTGGTCAGAGATGGGGTCGTCCATGCCGTGGTTTTGAAGAATCTCCTGAAAGAAGGTACGAAGCGCCCAGACTCGTCCTGCCATGAGCCCGGCGTTCAAGAAACGCCAGGGGGTTGTGACGTTCTTGGCCTTGGCCAGCTCCTGAAACGCTTCCAAAAACCTGTCCGGCTGCGTTTCTGCACCGAAGAAGACAGCTTTGCCGGAATTTGCCTCCAGTGCCAACAGCCTGTCCAGGATTTCCTCCCTCGAGCCGGCAACTACCGAGTCGTAACCGTCCACGAAGAGCACAAAGTCGCAGATTTGAGAGGCCATCATCCGAAAAACATAATCTTTGTATGCATGTAGCCTCACAGTGAGCTTGGGCCACTCGGCCCCGCGGCCATAGTCCAACACTGCAACTTCACCAAAAACCTTGGAAGTGGAAGCGAAAAAAGCCGACTGGATCATATCCAGCTCGCTGGCAAACGTGGCCACGTGGGCTCGGCGTTCCGCACCTAGCAAGGCACACCCAGGGCAACACACACGCTTCGGCCTTATGACAGGTGTCTGGAATCTCCTTATACCGAAGAAGGCCCTGAGGCCTCAAACTTCGAATGCGCTTCTCTCTGTGTGCTTTTTGGGAAGGGGTGGGTCCCTGCCTATGCAGCTGACAAAATCCTCTGATCCTTGCGCGGCTCCTACGAGGAGGACGGGCCATGCTCGCCACATGGCCCACGCCGCTCTTAAGCAGTCCGCGGTTGAACGGTTCAGCGGTCTGGGGCTTTCGGGGTTGGCATTTAGGTTTACGGCTTACGGCCGAAAAAGTTTGCATATTAACTTGGCGTGCATGCTAAGTTGCATTAACATGAAAATGACGATGCGTGTGAATGCTGACTTGCTGGGGTTGTGGGGGAGTTCCCAGCGTTCCAGTGAGTCTTTGCGCAGGGTTCGGAGCTCCTTACCCCAAAGAGCTTACATGTTCCAGGGACATCAGTCCTGACTGCTACCCTTCTGTCAGAAAGCAACTCTCGTGAAAATCTGACCATGAATCCTAACCTTCTTGTCTGCACTTTGACTGGAAAGCTGGGAGAGGTTCGTCAAGACCTCCCGGTGAAGGGTTTCATCGCTTGCTAAGTAAGGAATATACCTTAAATTATCGGGGCCTTAATATTATGATTTAAGGTATATTCCTTAATTAAGGGATATTGGGCTCTCTGCGTGTCGGGTGCAAAAACCTACTGTCTCAGCTTCTGGCGGCAAGCGCTGGTCGAAGTGATTGGCATACCCTAACCCTCCAGGTGCCTACTATATAGGGCCCCAGGGGCTCTAGTACCCTATATAGTAGGTACCTGCGGGGTTAGGGATATAGGAGGCTGAAGAGTTACAACTGAAACAAGGTTGTGTGGCATCTTGAAGTATGTGCATGACTAAAAACATCGGGGCCACGAGGGGAGGCTACTGCTGTGCGGCAGACCCTTTACCGCCTCGTTCTCTCTAGGATCTTGCCAGCATGAAGTATAACGTTTGAAAAGCCATCGGACTTCGTAAGTCGATTACTCCTCGGGCTACATTGTAGAAATGCGCTACATGGGCTTATCCTGGTATCCCTCCTTTGCATGTGCCCAACTTACTTACTTGGGTCCGGTGAGCCTCTAAGTACGGCACAGTAAAGAGGGACCGGTAATTTTGGTTATGCAGGAACTACACTGCCAAAGGGAGCATTCTTGCAAACTCTTCTAAACCCTCACAGTGCCCTATGAAACCCTCATAAAACCTGAAAACCCCTAAACCCTAAACCCTAAACCCCTAAACCCTTAAACCCCTAAACCCCTAAACCCTAAACCTTACTATTATTCGAGGCCTCAGGCCGGTCTTGGGAAACATGAGGTGAAGACTTCCGAAGTCTCTTTGGGCCTCCAGATCTTTTCACAGCTTCTTCTTATGGGTTTTACAGAGTTTCCATATCGGTCGTGGGACCCCCTCGGCTTGTATCCTTGCCGAAGACGTCACAAAAACCCACTCACACCAAATAAACATGTAAAGGTCCTAGATCTTACGGCTTTGCAGCACAGCCTAAACACCAGCCCCAAATCAAACCGCCGGCCGTAAACCCTCGAGCCTAACTGAAACCCTCATAAGCCCCTACATGTACTTCCTTATGAACCCGACAGAGCAGCCAGAATATCACGGGAGAAGCCTCAAGCCCCAAAGTCTGGAACGTTTTCTCCACTGCCGCGGTTCACCGGCGCTCTAGGGCCGTTAGCGGCTTTAGGGCTCTAAGTGGGGTTTCGTAGGGCTTTGGACGTAGGATTTATAGGGTTTAGGGCTCTGAGTAGGGTTTCTTAGGCTTTGGACGTAGGGTTTATAGGGTTTAGGGTTTAGGGTCGAGGGCGTACAGGATTTATTGGGTGTAAGGGTCTCAGGTTTACGCCTCCCAGACGGCCAGCTTCTTCTTTGGCCACCACGCCTCCGGGACCGGAGGTGCCGGGGAGTTGGAGTTCATGCTCTTCTAAGGGCAAGAGTTCCTGTAAGGGGTGTTCCTTCATAAGTCACCCTAAACCCTAAACCCTACACCCTAAACCCTTTCAGGTCTTGAGGGCTTCTAACGTGCTTTCAGGGGGCTTTCGAAAGGGGAGCCGGCCAGACCCTGAAAGCCACAGCCAAAACCAAAACCAGAGCCGACCGCAAAACGGAAGCCCAAGAGGGGCCCTCTTCCACTTCTGCGCGTGTTTCTGGGGTCATGGCAGTCCGTTAAGTTTTAAGGTTTAAGGTTTAGGGTTTAGGGTTTAGGGGTCATTGAGTCACATCCCGATTATCGCCTCTGGGGTTCACTGAGTCCCCTGAGCCGCTGAGCTCCGGATTGCCCACCTGACACCGGCCACCAGCTCCCTGCCGGCCGCGCAGGCAGAGGAGCACGCAGAAGGCCAGGGCCAGCAGAAGTAGGAACCATCGAAGGTTGAGCCAGAAACCTCAAGGCTTGGAGTAGCTTGGAGACCCTAGGCCCTAGACCCTAGAAGGATCTGCAAGCTTTTCGTCAGGATCTCAACATGGCTGGTGTCATCTACATTCCACTGGGCCAAACACCGCAGAGAAGAAGACCATGCGGAACAGAGCCACCAGGTTGCGGGGAACTCGACTAGAAACTCTCTCTTGTTCTACTACTTCTACGACCTACGACCACTCACACTAAGACCGTCTCAAAGCTTCAACCTCTCAGCCCCCTTTAAAGCGAAGTAGGTGTAGCATGGCGGCCTTACTGGGACATGATCAGACCCCTTTATGAGGTTGAGGATCCTTCCAGAGAACTTGCAGATCTGGGAGCCTCTCTGAGGAATAGCTTCATACCTTATGGTAACCCTTCTAGTCATCGAAAATCCTGAAGCCCTATAAAAATGCCCGAAACCCCAAAACCCTAAACCCTATAGTACTCTTGAAGCCTCAGAGTAACTCTCATGCACAAATCGCAACCGAGACTCAGAAATCGCTGTGTCGCAGCGATCTGCAGTCATCGGAGACTGTGCCTTCAAAGGGCGATCGGAGACTTCGGATGTCGGGTTTGGGTTCAGGGTTTAAGGTCATGTCTGCTACCGCTTCGACGAGAACATCTGGAGCCCTGTCGACATCTTTGCTCATGCCGTTCTTCGTCTTCCGTTTGCTGCTCTGGTTCTTGATAGCAGCACTGTCATTCTTAGGGCCACTGCTTCAAGCAGTACAGTACAACTCGTAACAGAATCCTTTACCCTCTAAAGTCCGATCTGCCAAACTTGCAAAAAAAAGACCTTAAAACCCTAAAACCCTAAACCCTAAAACCCCAAACCTCCTACAGTAAACCTTAAAACCCTAAAACCCTGAACCTTAAAACCCTAAAACCCACTAAACCCTAANNCTAAACCCTGAAACCCTAAAGCCCTTGCGAATCCTTGCAAGAGCCCCCCCTTCGGCACCTCCCACGTTGCATTGGAGGCAAAGCGCAGAGGTAAAGAGTAGCCACCAACCCGGGCCTGAAAAAATCCCAGGGCTTCCTTGAAAGGCCCCGGAAAAGGTTCCTGTGAGGGGTTAGGGCCAGGGTTCCTTCAAGACGTCCGTTAAGGATTTAGGGCGGTTTAGCGTTTTGGTACGGTGGGGATCTCCGATATATTCTGCAGTAGAGTGGATAGTCGGGCTTTGGTAAGCGTACACGTGAGTGCATGCGGCTGACCAATGAAAATCCTGCTTCACACACCAACCCGTCCCCGTGTAGGATGCTTGATGTCTGTCGACGTTTTAGGGCGGTGGTCGGGGCTTGGAGATTGAAGGTTTCGGGAATCCTCGACTCGGGGCGTCTGTAGTTTAGCTGTGACGAAAACCCCTCACAAGGAAACAACGGCGAAAACCGATACAGAACCTCGAGAGAACCCAAAACCCTCAACCCACTTATACAGTTATACAACCCTTAAAGCACAGGTTCAGGATTGCTATCTCAGGGCTCGGGTTTTGCAGCGGCTCAAGGGCTGCTTTTACGGGATGCTCCAGGCGTTCTTTTCCGGGACTTGCAAGAAGTTCAGGAAGTTGAAGCTTTAAGATTTTGAATATAGGGGGGGGGGGGGGGGGGGGNNGCTTTGGTAGTACAAAAAAGCAAAATTCTGGGTTCATAGGGGTTTTTGTCATTAGACTCAGGCCCCCCCAGATTCTACGAAAAGCATAGCCCGAGCCAAGGGACCGTCGTAGATTTTGAGGTCGTGGGTTGCCTCTACCTGGATGCCAAGCCACCATCCTTCCATCAGGTAGGCAGACTCCTGGAGAAGCACTTCAAAAAGTCATCAATGCCTGTCGCAGCCGTGCTAGGGCCATTACCATACTATTCCTCCCCAGCCTTGCATATCCACATCAAAGTTACCATTGCCAACACCATAGGTGCTGGTGGTGGCGTTGGTGGTGGTGTTGGTGGTGGTGGTGGTGGTGGTGGTGGCGGTGGCTGAAGCTGTTATTGTCGCTGCTGTTTGTAATCAGCCCTGCCGTTGCCACTGCTGCATGATTGTGCTAGCTATGACTACCGTCGTTGATACTCGTGCCGGTGAAACTGCTGCCACGGCAGTTGCTGCTGCTTCGAACCTGAGTATTATCTTTATATGTTTTCTGCAGTTCAACAAATATGACTGTCACGACTACTCTTTTCCTGCCGAGATTGTACTTTGTTCTGATTTTAGTTGGCCCAAATTCAATTGTGCTGACTGCTACAGTGTGCAAAAGGCGTGGCTGACGACGGTGTCCTTGCAACAGTTGTCCACTAGCATTGCTTGTGCTACTCGTACAGTTGCTCGTATGAGCAGTCGTACAGCTCTTGCACTGCGCAACATTCTCATCTTTGGTGTGATTACTACTCTGAGGTCTTGTGCTCTTAGAGGTCTGGCGAGCTCGCAATTATCGCTATATACTAGTGTTCTATCTGTCGCAGCATGCTGAGTGCTTATACCTCCAACCTTTGCTTAAAGGAGAGGGCCGGAACAATGCCAAACCTCAGGAGCAACCCAAGCACGAGTGGGAACAAAGACCACGGCGACACTAAACGTAACAAGAACCAGAAAGACATCCAGCGTTTGACTACACATTAAGGCCATTAGTCATGCCCAAAACAATGATCAGAGAGAACTAGAGAATCAATAATCAAAACAGTGACGGCCGTGCTGTGAATCTGAGCAATGAAAACGGGGTGAGAGCGATGTGCAAGTAAGAATGAGAATAAGACCACCAGAAGGTAGCACGACTGGCATGAACAGGACGGATGGTAAGGCTGCAAGAACAGTAACGAGGCTACAAGAACGAACTAAGGTCCAAGAACAAAGGCCCAAAGACAATGGTAAGACGTGTAAGAGCTGCAAAACAACACCTGAAGCACCAGGACCGATGGAATAGAACCAACAGTGCGAAAGGCAGCAAAGATACCATGGGGAGACTCCTGTACTTGGAGGTTCATGGGTAATTATAAGTGGAGTTATAAGTCCCGTAATATGGGTTATAAGTATAGTTACCCTACTTATAACTCCACTTATAACTACCCATGAACCCTAAAACCCTAAACCCTAAACCCTAAAACCCTAAACCCTAAACCCTAAAACCCTAAACCCTAAACCCTAAACCCTAAACCTCCAAGTAGTAGGGACCGAGAACGGAGTCGCTCCTGCGGGAAAAGCTGCCGGAAGGCGTCCTGCAAGGAAGACGTGGGCCGTCCATCGACCCATCTGGTGCCTTGCTTCCGCAACCGGGGGGGTTTAGGGTTTAGGGTTTAGGGGTTTAGGGTTTCGGGTTTCGGGTTTAGGGGGTGGCACGATTCAATCCAACTAGCTGCACCACTTCACCATTCGATTGATCGGCACCGTAGTTGCCGGGTTTCGTTGGTCTGACAACGAACCAGATGAGGTTATCTCATCATACTTCAAAGCACATTCGCTCTCTAAATCCAAAACTAAGCTATCTAATCGATAATCAACTGGTTGACTGGGCAACCAAACCAGAAAGATGTCCAAGTTAACTGCTCGATTCAGCCAGCGACCGGACTATTGCCAGCTAACTGGCTAACAAGCTGACACCTGCTAAGTACCGAAACCACTGTCCGGCTACGGCCCGACTGACTGATCAGCAACAACTAGATTGGAATGCGGAGTTTTCATGGACTGGGCAGATAACAAACGTCAACCACCACCATCCTCCCCAACCTAATGGGCGATCAGTGGTTACATACTTATATAGATGTACAGATAGATATACACATATGTACATATATATATATATATTCAAGTATACGTATCTAAATATGCACACACATATGCATGCATGCATGCATGCAGACATACATGCATCCATACATGCGTACAAATGTTCATATACATGCATGCATATACACATACATGTACTGCATGCAGGCTTCAGGGTCTTATGTATGGTTATAGTAGAATTCAGGCTCAATAAGGATTCGGGGTTTAGGCCCCTCCTAGGTATACAAATATATATATATATATATGAACAGATGCGTAGAGGTATATATGCACATAAGTAAGGCATCCGAAGGGACGATGGCCAAAGCCCGGAAAATGGACCAGTGGGGGAGCTGTGCCGGTCGGCCTCACATGTAGTCGACCGCCTCCTACGTCGACACCGTCCTGGGCCAACAATACTGAACCCAGTCATCATAGTAGTAGACAGTGTGGAAGTAGCAACGGTAGCAGTAGGAAGCGCAGTTGTTCTTGCTGCTGCAGTTGTAGCTGCTGTTCTTGTTGTTGTGGTAGCGGCGGCACTGGGGAGGAGGATCGCTACTGTTCAAGCTTTGAAAGTCTAGATGCGGGGCTTTATATCGCTACATGTTCATGAATCTCATGACCTACTTAAACTGGTAAGCATGACCAGACCCCATCCCGGTCCTCCTGCAGGTGGAGTAATGTGCATATCAGCTTGCACTCAGTGTCCAGAAGAACTTTGTCCGGATTGTCTCTGCGGTACCTTTGGAACCAGACTTGATCATTCACCTGCTCTTCCACGGGTTTCGGCAGCATCGTCTTGAAAGCATGCACACGACCCACAAGTATCCCAGAATTCAGATAGCGCCAGCGGTGTTTTGCTGGAGGGGTCTTTTCACAGATGCCATCGCTGTTTGGAAAACAGGTTTCCTCGGCACCGAAGACGATGCTGCGCCCAGATTCGCTTTCAAGCTCCTCAAACTTTCGGAGAATTTCAGACCGACTGCCGAGAACCAAACAATCAAACGCGTCTGCATAAAGCCTCGGCTACAAGGGCGGAGACAGAAACACCCGGCATGCTAAAGAAATGAAGGCAACATCAGTGATACTGCGCTCCGAGAATCAAGACATCCTGGTCACTCAGTGAGAGAGCAAAGGTCCGCATCGCGTTTGCCTTTTCCACAGTGCCCCAGGAACTGCCCTTGCCTTAGAATTGGGGCCTTAGGAACTAGAGCAGGGTTTTGGGGTACAGTGTAATAAGGCAAGGAGCCCTTTGGGGAAGAATGGTTTGAGCAAGCTCCTATATGGGCGGTGAAGACATGGAGCGGCATGGGCGAGGCCAGCGAAAACTTCACTGGACAGCCAGCCCGAAACCCGACATCCCCCCCAGATCCCCTAAACCCTAAACCCTAAAGCCCGAAGCCCGAAGCCCCTAGACCCCGGGGCCTTCAAACCGTAAACCCACATCCTGGGACCATCAGCCCGAAAGCCTGTAAACCTTCAACCACGAAGCTCCAAAACCCAGAGCCCTGCTGAGGCCCGGCAACCCTTAGAGCGGGGCTTCATACTTAGAATGACGCTCTAGGGTATGATATATATATATATATAGAGAGAGAGAGAGAGTTGAACTCTAACCCATCGAACACACAAATGGCTCGTTAAAACAACCAAGAAAACTAGTAGCAAACATGTTAGTAACGATAGATATCCCTCGGATCACAATAAGTAGTGGTGAAACTAAAATAATTTGCTCCAGATGCCGAGACCAAGCACGTGTGGAAACATCTGATTGGCCTCTGCAGAAACCTGGCCAGGGTAATCGTTGGGTTGTACTGGGCTGCTGTAGGGTGTTAACGAGTTTTGACGATGTTGCGAACAAAAATTAACACGTTTTGAAGTATTTTACTGTGCTTTAAGGGGGGTGTTGAAAGCCTTATATTGTCTGGGAGACTTCGCAAGTTGAGAACCTCGGGCCCTACGGCACATAGCCTAAACCCTTCGAGAGCCCGAGAGACGCCCGGCCTGAAGGTATGCGAACGACCGGTGCAGGTTGAACATAAAGGTCATCAAGTGAAGCTTCGTGCTATTCCTTGAAAGCAGGCTGCTGCTGGGTCACAGGGGTTGTAGCAATAGTAGCAGCAGCAGCAGTGGTAGCAGTATCTCAACCCTTCAACCCTTGAAACGTCTAGGAGTCTAGATCCCACTCTCGGAGGTCCGAGAAAAAGAAACAGCATGCCCACACAGACCGCAACATTGTAGGATCCTTCAGGTAAGGAACCGAGCCCCACCCGTCTGAGCTACCTAGGGCTCGCCGCCCCAAATCCCCAAACCTGTTACAACCCTAAAGCCCGAAACCCTAAACCCCACAACCCCAAAAGCCCTACAACCCTACAACCCTAAACCCCAAACCCTGAACACAATCCCTAAAGAGCCCCTGTAGAAGCCGAGTCGCGCGACCGACCGGGCAACCTGGAGCTCCGCTTCGACGCCCCTCCTCGGCTTTCAGCGGAATGTAGGGTTTAGGGGTCTAGGGGATATAAAGGAGTTTAGGGATTCAGTGTCTAGGGTTTGAGGGTCTAGGGGTTTTAAAAGAGTTTAGGGATTTAGGGTTTAGGGCTTTAGGGGCTTAGGGTTTTAAGGGAGTTCAGGGGTTTAGAGCTTAGGGGTGCAGCATTTCAAGGGAGTCTAGGGATGAATTAAAGCATTAGGGTTTAGGGGTTTGGGCCTCGCAATCGCTCCAAAAGCGTTCTATTTCAGCCGTGGAGTAGCGACTGGAGAAGCATCGCCGCGCTGGCACATGACAACCACGACAGAGGCATAGCTGGGGAGAGTGCGGCTTAGGTTTCGGCACGGCTTGGCTGACCTGAAAGCTAAAAGCCTTGCGTTGTGCCGATTAGAAGGGTTCAGTGCTGGTCAGTGTGGGATCTAGGGGCTCGTTTAGGGCGTGTGGGGCTGCACTCTGCGCTCTGGGTCGAGGCTACGACTGCAGGGCCAAATAAATCCTAAAGCAGGCTCGGGTGTGTTACAAGAGCAGAGCTTGCAACTGTGGAAGCAGCAGGGCTGCTTGAGCCGACGTACCCATTTCGGAACATCTACTCATGCGCTCAACGACAAAGGCGGGTCAGTGGCGAATGCGTCGACTCGAAACGGATGAAATTACGCGAACTAAGCGGCTCGCAGTTTGGTGGAATCGAGGTGCAGGGCTGAATTGGGTAAACATGCTGGCCTTAACAAGTCCAACCATGAAGATGAAGATGAAGATGACGATGATCATGATGAGGATGAGGGTGCGAATCATCATCATCATCATCATCATCGTCGTCATCGTCATCGTCCAAAGCTGTTGAGTTTTGTTGCGGCTGTGCTGAGGTTGGCGATGCCGGCAACTTCGGCGACGTGCTCCACCACTTTAGCTCACAAAGTCTTGCCTTTGGAAACCAACACTACCACCATCAGAAACACCACCACCACCACCACCACCACATGATAATGCTACGTCGTCGACTGATTTGTTCGTTCTTTCCTCCGTGGTCTCGGTCTTTGGCTGGCGGGATTTCCCGAAGGACCCGTCCAAGATAACAAAAATTTGCGCCTGTCGCCGTGCAGCTAAGCCGCCGCAACAAATTGTAGGGGCCCTGAGCCGTGACCTCTTTCCGCCGCAAAAGGCGTCTTACTGTGTAGGGGGCTTTAATGGTTTCCTACTGCGCCAAACCATGGTAACCAGCAGAACAGAGGAATCTGGCCCAGGACAACAAATCCTGTGACAACTCTGGCTCGAGGGCGCGCAAGATCCGAACTGACCAATGCAAGAACCGAAGTCCATGTTCTAAAAAAGACCCTCTCCTTCAGGTTCGCCTTCAGCATGCTTGTTTCAAACCCAAACTCGACAGTACACCGAAACCCTAAACCCTGAAACCCTGAAACAAAACCCTATAACCAGTCCGCCCCTTCGGAATTGCGTCTGCCCCGGCAAGGCCAATCGATTGTTCATTGGCTTCGGCACTTCGAGGGGGATTTGGGATGTAGGGTTGATGAGGGTTGTTCGGGTAAGTCAGGGTTTAGGATAGCTTAAGGGGTCACTAGGAATTCAAGCTAGAAAAGGCCAGTATACAAGCCTTCGATCATGCGGATATCAAACATGGAAAGCCCCAGCAGCGTGAGCAGCGCGGGCAGAAACGGGCAGTCTTTCAGCAACGGATTCACGATGAAGTCCGTCAGCCCACTCACACTGGTCAGGTTCTCGTTGTAGGGCTCACGGTGATGGACAGCATGATGCTGCGGGGGCAGCAGTAGATGCAAGCGCTGCAGGATACGAACAGCAAAGGGCCTCGTGCCTTCGGGGAAGTGCGCATAGAAATGCCCGACAGCGGAGCCGTAGGCACCAAAAAGGAGCTTTAAGTAGAGGATCTGTGCAGCGAGCAGTGTGTGATTTGAGAGCGCCGCAAAGCAGACAAGAAGAATCCACTGAATCCTGACAGTGTCACAGAAGAGGCGATACAGCCCGACTCCCCTGGTCGATTCCATGGGCCAGGCATGGTGCATTTGAAAGCCGTAGGCCACGAAGTCCAGAGCAGGTACTTTTAGGCACTCTTCGTGATCGAAGGTCCTATGGAGCAAGGCCGACATGAAGTCACCATAGAGGTACATGAAAAAAGTCAGCTTCCAGTCAGGAACCCAGGATGGCTCAAAGAGGACGGTCCACAGCCCAAGCCCGAAGAAGAGCAGGTGATGAAGCAATTGCCACCAAGTCGTGGGAACCTGCTTCTCAGGCCCCAAAAAAAAAACATAAGCATAAGCTTTTGACAGTAATATCCCTGCTTTCTGGGTCTCAGATACAAGGGGAGTCAGATGGGAGTCCCAACATAGGGGCCTGAATAAATGCCCATACTACTCCTCCGGGCTCCTGACTACAATTTTGCGACCACATACGTCACAACCCTCTTCTACTGACTGAGGCACCTGTACTAAACCCTCATAGAAACCTTTCCTGAAACTCTCACAGGAACTCTTCAGCAAGCCCATTCTTTTGTAACTATTCAGGAAGACCCCCTCTTGACCCCCTTTTCCAGGAACCCCATTCCTTCGGTGGCGGCGGGAAAGCATCGTGGTTGGGGAGCACCTTCCCCCTTTCCGATCTTCGCTCCCTCGTCGGAAGCGGCGCCTCTTGTTGAAGAACCTGGGCTCTCTCTTCTTATCATGTTTAGGGTCGACTTGCTTTAAGGGCATCCATGAGGGCTACTATAAGCGCGCTGCAAAGGAAAGTTGAGGAATCGTACTACTAGTTATTCCATCCCTGCTATTACTTAAACCAAGTTACTAGAAATAGGGATACGTAGTAAAGACTGGGCTTTCCTTCTCAGCTCCCTACCAATACAGATATTGGGAAAAACCCGAACCCAAAAAAGGATCCCCTTGTAATCTCTATGTAAATGTAGTGTCGCAACAAGGACCCAGGAACTGCCTTCAATGCAGTCCTTCTTCGCCACTGCGACCTGCAGCCTCTGGCACAGAGGCCAACAGCAAGCACATACCAAGCCTTTTTGGACTCAGCACCCAAAGCCGAGAGCTGTGGTAGCCTGCATCTGTAACAAGGCGTCTATAGAGGTTAACATGTTTTAGAAAGCTTCATAGAACGCTACGGCACTTCATTTAAATGAGTCACCGCAACTTGCCACATTACATACGCCTTGGTTATGATAGCCGGAGGGTGAGCTAAGAATGCTATTTATCTTCACAAGAAACCAGATACCCTTTAGCTAAAGCCCTTACAAAAAGGAAAAGCACTATCACTAGTTACAAAAACCCGTAAAATTCATCAAGCGGAACCACGTAGCTTGGACCCTTTTCCCACGAGCACACGGCTGCGTAGGGCTGGGAGCTGTCTGCTGGTAGCAAGCACCCCGGAGGATTCCGCGACTTGCATTCTTGCAAGGGTCAGAACATGGAGCTGCAAAACCTGGCGCGAGTAAAACGCCTCAAAAACTGCGGTGGAGGTGGAGAAACCAGGATGTTCAACAAGGATGCCATGCTGTGTACTAGTATTACTACTAGTAGTAGTACTAGCAGTACTAATTAATAGTTGGTACTAGTAAATAGTACTAGTAGTACTGGCAATGGTAGTATTGGTAATACTGATAGTAGGGTGGTGGTGGTGGTGGTGGTGGTGGTAGTAGTAGTATTCACGATACGTGTCAATAATACGATGTGTCTCTCTCCCTCTCTATATATATATATGCATATCTATCTTGCGTGCAATTCCTACATGTGTACATCCATCGTGCATCGTCGCTGTCGATGGTAGCATTCTCACGACGCACTGTCTGATCCGGATAGCAGTGCATTGCGCACCGTCTTGGTATGTATCGCTCACACGCGAGCGCAAGGGGCCCGTCTTAAAGATGGTCTGGTTTAGCTTGGCTGGCTTGGCTAAGCACACCCCCTCAGTATACAGCGTGTGCAGCAGCGATGGAACGGAGCGCAAAGGGGCAGTCTTAAAGACGGTTTGGTTTGGCTGGGCTTGGCGTTTGGCTTGGCCTGGGCTTGGCTTGAGCGGCAGTGGGCACCAATGAAGGACCTGCGTAATACTACTGCGGAAACATTCTCCAGAATGCATCTTTGTCGCATCTCACGACTCCTTGCTGTTCTGGTCGCACTGTCTGAAAGCAAAACGCACCTTACTTCCTTCCTTCCTTCCTGCCTTCCTTCCTCTTTTCTGCTAGTTTGACTTTCTGATCCAAATATATTGTTTATTGATCCAAGTCTAATTTTTTGATCCCAATCAACCATACATAAACCTGTGTGCTACCGCAAGTTTCCTCTTTGGCTCTGAAGGTAACTTGCGAAGGACTAATCGCAATGTTTTCCAGGTCCAATCCGTTTCCTCTTGACCCGGCCACTACAGCTTAATTGTATGATTTTTTCAATCAAGAGAATGGAGACAATACTAGTGGCACTGGCGATAATTAGTGGCACTGGCAAGAATCACTGCTCGCGAGCAGTCTGTCAATCCGCAGCATCACGATCATTTTCCACGGGCGCCTCCGTGTCTGAGCACAACTACGGTTCTACAACAGGTCTTCAGCAAGAGTGAAACACGACGAGTGCAACCCAACGACGCGATTATGTGTGCGCACTGTATTCGTCTGCTCACTGCGTGATGGTGCTTATGAAGAATCTGATTGTTGCGATGGATCTCACATACATGACGAAGATGGCTTGCATGATTCTGATGATTCTCTAGGTTCCTCCACTACCACTACCACTACCACTACCACTTCGACTGCTCCTGCCACCACCACTACGGCGGCTACAGATACCAATGCGACTGCGACAGCGGCTGCCACTGCAACCACCAATATGATTGCGATTGCGACTGCGACGACGACTATACGTCACCAACATATAGCAATAGGCAAAACGCCGCAGTAGCAGTGGAACAGTTCGCCCTTCTGCTCAGAACGGAGCACGTTTGCTCGGGCCTGAGCCAGACAAGAACCGCACAGATGAGGGTCCACAAAAACACCAGGGTTACTGATGTAAGGGCTTTTGAACCAGGGTCCTAGTCTTTGGGGTTCACATTAGGGCCCCTTGCTTCCTGAAAGTCCGAAAAATGCACAACCACGGTTCATAAGTTGACAAGATGCAGCAAACCTCAACTCTTCACCCTTAAGCGATCATCATCCAAGCCCTGGGAACCTTCTTGATATGAAGCTAAATGAGCTAAACAGGGCGATCCCGGAAGTACTCATCTCCGATCGGTTGAAGCCCGGGTCCTTAAGGTTGAAGAAGAACTCAAAGCTCGCAAAGCGAGGACGGCTGATAGGATTTAGGACTAAGATATAGTCAGGGGTTGGAATCCTGCTCAAAATCGAAGCGATGGATTCCGGGTCCAGGGTGTAAGTTTCAGGACTGGCCTGGTGCTTAGAGTTGGTCCTGACCATCTGAATCTGCGAGCCGGGCTATCCCAGACAAGAACCCCCTAAACCCTAGAACCCCTAAGGGCCACTAAAACAACCCTTAAGAACTCCCCTAAACCCACTCCAACCCCGTCAAACCTCTAACACTCCTAGTACCCCCTTAACTTCAAGCCCTGCACAGAGATCCTGGGACTGAAGACGGCAGGTTCCCGAAGACTTCCAGGAGCCCTTTCGAAATTCAGGGTTTGGGTTTAGGTCGATTTGGGGGTTTAGGGATTTAGGGGTTTAGGGTTTGGGGTTTAGGTCGATTTGGGGTTTAGGTCGATTTGGGGTTTAGGGCTTGAGGGATTTAGAACTTAGGGTTCAGAATTGTATAGGGCATGGTAGGCCTGAACAACGGGTTATAAAGTTTCGTATGGGGAGATATGGGGCATCAGGGGTTCGATACACTTCAACATAAGGGGTGTAGCAACACGAAAGGGCTTTTGGGCTATATCACAGTACATACTCACTTTTGTCCGCCTAGACTTCACATAAACTCGATAAACCCTTAACCTTTGACCCTAAACCCTAAACCTAATTAAACCTCCGATGTTTCTTCCGCCGCTCCACCAAACCCCACCTTCGGCGGGCGTTGCAGTGCGAGGAACGAATTAGCAACCGGAGTCTTCTCATGGTGACCATAATAATACGCGTGGTACCAATACTACTGCTGCTTACTCATGCCACTACACAGACTCACACTAGTACGAATGCCAGTTATTCACACTAATACTCATACTCATGCTAGTACCAAGTACTAAAAGCCACTGGCAAGAGGAGCAGCAACCTTGCTCCGACAGGGCGACCCTCCTTCGGAAAGCCGGCGACGTTAGCGGGTAAACGTCCCAGCCCGAGCTGGGCGCACCGAAGCCGTGAAGCTCATGATGCTTCGAGAGCTTCGGAAGCGGCTTTTTGGCTGTTGTTGAGGCCTAGGGACTTTAGGGTGGAGTTCTTTGGGCTTAAGGCTTTAGGGCCTTCAGTTTTGGGTTTTTGCTTTGGGTACTGCGGCACTCACCATCAGAAAGCCTCTTCGACATAGTCTTCCTGTGAACACTCCATGCTGGTCTGAATCATTACTAGCGTCTCATCGACACCGCTGTCCACAGACAGAGTTCTCAAAGGTGTCGTCGGCTGCCCAGATGAGAAGGTTCGCAGTGCTTCCGAGCCAGTCGCAGTCATGTCCAGCCTGGGCAGTTCTCGCAAGCACAGTAAATAAGCATTCCATTTCCCCCTCGCCAACATACTATACCGTAAGTTCGAAGTATGTCTTCAAGAGAACAGCCAAGCAGCAGCGAGTTCAGATTCGCTGAGTGCTCTCTCTGCAGCCTCGAAGCCACCTGCTTGGCCTTCAGTTCCAAACTTGACTCGGAGAAGGATTGCGGCAGGAAGTGCACAGCCACCTGGGAGTTTCGGAAACAAGGGATGTATGGGGGCTTCATGAACAAGATATATCACATCCCCCCCCCCCCCCCCGAATTTTGGGAACCCCCCCCGCCCCGCCGCCCCCCCCGACCTGAACGAAGATGGCCTTCAGCACCTTGACGTAGGTGGCTGCCGCGTTGTAGTCTCGTGCCGCCTGCACCTTGGGATGCCGCTGAAGCTCAGTCAGGGCCACAGGCGGCGGGATCTGAAAGCCGTCCTCTGCCGTCACCGGTAGTACATTGCAGGACGAGGCGACTCGGTAGGCTTGGAGCACCCAGTCCACCATGTGTCCGGACACGAGACAGCCATGCGTGCAGACCATTACCAGTAACAAAGGGCGATAGCTGATATTGCTCGTGTCGAGGCTCCGGGTGGTTCGTTCGATTTTGTCTCTGGCCCCCAGAACTTTGGGCAAGACATTGCAGAGGTGCAAGACATGGGGAGCCATGAAGTGCCTTAAGATATGGGCTGTTGCAACAGCCTCCATGGATTCTTGGTCTGCAAGGATCAGACAGTCCGAGTCCACGACTTCGGAGGAGGGTCTGCTCGTTCCCGTCAGAAAGTTCACAACACCGGTAATCTGAGATCGCCCCAGGGGCGACTGAAGCGTGAAGGATCTCAGAGTCCTTAGCCACCTTATGGTCTCCGTGATGTCTGTTGTACTGAAGCTCCAGCTTGCAAGATCGATCTTGCTCTGAGCCATGCTCTCAAACTCATCGATGAAGGCATCAGAGGGTATGAAGAACTGAGGCAAGGCAAGGAGAGTGGCATCCAGCTGGTGCAGCCGTGCAGTAACGAGCTCCGCTACACACCAAGTCCGAGTAAGATACATGGGTGTGGCAATAACCACCAGTGCCTCAACATTCCTTAGCTGTCAGTGTGGCAACTGCCAGGGGGAGATGCTAAACCAAGAAGAACCGAAAGCAACGTTTTCCGCAGGTGCGCTGTTGACTCTGGACGAGTTTGATGTCGGCTGTACACAACAATCATGCACAGCTTTTTGGGCATACCTGGAGCTTCTAAACTGGAGCTGCTGCTTTTTTTGTCATGGCGCTCTACTCGATGTTAAGCAGGTGTCTTCAACGATCTTTGTGCCTGGTCCTTCCTCCGCATGTGTTGTGTTGCTGCAGATGATGCTAGCTTGCATTTAGGGCTGGTGTTTCGCTTCGTCTCAGCTGCGATTGAGTCTCTGGCTCAAGACCGAAAACCTTGGCTGCTCGCGAACACGGCAACAACTCTGAAAAGGGGTCCGGTACAGTTCCGCGTTGTCACTATACGCCACGCCCTCATTGTCGGTAGCACGTCACCTTTCGACATACCTCTAGTATTACAACTGTTGCTGCTGCAACTCCTCCTGCTACTGCACTGCTACCACTACTACTACTACTACTACTACTACTACTACTACTACTACCCACCCCCCCCCCCCC